GCAGCTCCCCGCCACAGCTCACCTCTGCTCCGCCTCCTCCCCGAGCACGCTGTCGCCGCTCCACTTCTCCCGCCTCCCAGGCTTGCGGCGCCAATCAGCTGTTTGGCGCCGCAAGCCTGGGAGGGAGAGAAGCAGAGCGGGGCGGCATGCTAAGGGGAAGAGGTGGAGCAGAGGTGAGCTGGGGCGGGGAGTTCCCTTGCGTGCCACCCTCCCCCCTTACTTGCTGCAGGAGGCCCTCCCCAGGGCCCCGTACCCCAGCTCCCTCCGCCTAAATGCCGACGACGACCGGGGCGGCCGAAGATCAGGCCGCCGCGGTCGCCGCCGAAGGACCCGAAATGCCGCCCCCCAAATGCTAGCGCCCTAGGCGACCGCCTAGGTCACCTAATGGGTTGCACCGGCCCTGATCACGTCCTTAACTGTGCCTTGAGGTGGAAGAAACCCACTAATTGCCACATGAAAGAAATTTAAATCCTTCCTGCAACATATATGGATTAGATTAGAATAGGCTTTTTTTGTTCTATACAACTGAAATTCCCATGCCCTTTACAGGAGAATAATGGGCTGATCTTGTGAAGGCATATAGATTACTGAGGACTGTGATTGTATTCAGGGAAGACATGGATAAAGGTGATATGTCTTATCTGATGTTTTGAATAGAGCGGGTTATCGAACTGATAAGGGGTTCTGTGTGGATCATATGCAGAAGGTTATGTTATATGCTGAGATCTCTGAACCATACCACGACGGAAAGTGTGGATGCAGTCTCCAGTGTCTACTTGGTAGGTTTACAAGGTCATAACCCAGTATGACGTTTTCTATGATATAGTGTATAAGGTAGGTCTTTAGCCCACAGCTGAAAGTCAGAAGGAGGAGTGGACATTGGTCAGCAATAAAGGGGCAGAGTCAAAGTTAGTGCTGAAATCTTAACTGAATATGTCCTTTTTGCAGCTTTTCACCTGGATCGATCGGTCTTCAGCTGTCATTAAGACTGTGCCGATCACAACACATCCGCCATTCTTCTCGCATTCTTGCCTTTCTTCTCCATGTTCGTCCGAAATGTTTAACGTCATCTTCCCATCTTCTTGGAGGCTGACCAGGTGGTCTTTTCTGTTTTCGCGGGTACCACTCAGTAATGATTGCGGTCCACCTATTTTCCGTGAACCGTGCTATGTGGCCCGCCCATCGTATCTTATTATATCTGCTTTCCATGACAATATCTTTCACACCGCTGCGTTCTCTAATCATTTCATTTGGGATACGATCCAGAAGGGAAATTCCCAACATAGCTCGTTCCATTGTCGTTTCAGCTACCGACAGCCGCTGTTCTTCTCTCTTTGTCAGCTTTTAGTTTTTTAAAATAGAAAATGTTCTAATTTCCTGACTGCATTTACATTTGTTTTATACTCGTGAATCTGAAAATCCCATCTTTCCAACTTTATTTTATTCTAACAATATCACGCTAATGCTATTTTAAATGGGGTTACGAATACTGTAACTCTATTTCAGCAAAATATTTATCCTCGGAATTTTGGGGGTTTTTTAAAGAGAAGAAAAGTAAATTTCTAAAACATTTCTATTCCTGATTATTTTTAAACATTATTTTTCATTTAATTTAAATGTTAATTTTCAAAATTAATTTTCTTGAAAAATGTTATTTAATAAAAGAATCACAAAACATGTTATTACCCTATATCCTTACAAATAAACAAATCCCTCTAATTTAAATGTGACAGTCAGTAAAAAGACATTGCCTTGCACATAAGACAATACAGATTTTTACATTGGTGCAATTGGCTTCATTACAGCAGTTCCATTCATGGCCTAGTGCATCACTCCAGAAGCTTTATTTGAGGGCTTAGGTGGGATTTAAATACTGCAGAGACATTGTGCAGGTCCTCTGCACAGGAGTGAATTTCACCTATACAGAAATATATATGGTAGCAGTGAGCTGGCGCCACAGAGTATCAGCAATACTAAGTCCTCCATTCAGCAACGTACTTATGTATGCTCCTACCATTACGCACACAAGTAGTTTCATTGACCTTAAGGGCACTAACTAAATGCTGGAAGTAAGGCACATGCTTAAGTACCTTGCTGAAATTAGTGAGTTTAAACTAATACAGAATCTGCAGACTGTTTACTTGCAACTGAAATATAAGCTACATGAGCAGTAACGCGGCATTAATTTCCTTTATTTCAAAAGGGAAAAATCAGCATCTTAGGAATTAGAAATCTTACCATGAACATTAAGGTTAAAATACTTTTTGGCACTTCCGGCTATGTTCTCCACAACACAGACATACCTGCCGGTATCTGTTATTTGGGAATTTAGGATCTAAAAAAGAAAACAGGCTTCAGTAGAACTAATAAGAGGTCATTTACAATTAAAACTGCAAGATATGTACTGCTGATGTATTAGTGTTATTATAGGGATAACAATAACCAGTGTCATGAACAGGTCAGCCTAGGGAAGTATGCACTCCTGCTACCCACACGGTACCTGCTCTGCCAACCTGCATGTTTCAATTGCCGGGAAAGTAGGCATCTTTCACATTTATTTTTAATTTTGTAGGAATTTAATGAAATCCTCTTAAACGAGTTAAAAATAAAGGCCTGATTCTCCACACCATTTCACCATTTTAATATCTGTGTAAAGAACAGAGCTCAGAATCAGGCCTAACTTTGTAACTGTTCTACCAACACCTTCCACTTTTACCTGTAACATCCTTCCACCAGATAAAGACTTGTGTTGGTCGTCTTCTGCTAGGAGCTGGCCATCCTTTTGCCAACTTATGCTTGGAGCAGGGCTGCCAGTTGCCACACATTCCATCACTGTGGTCTTGTTCACAAGCACAGTGATCTCTTCAGGCAGATCAGCATCAGCTCCGTTAATGGATGGTGGCACTACATAGCATGCAAAGTGGAACAAGGAGATTGCTATATAATACTATATAAGCAGTGATTTCTTTGTGAAATTGCCAGAGGGATAGAGCCACACATAGATCTTGAATTTGCAGATTAAGGTAAAGAGAACTTCACAGTTAATTAGCGAACAATAATAAAATCCCAAGGAAAAATACAGCACCAGATTCACAGCTGGCATAAAGCAGCATAGCTCCAGGGACTGCAATGAAGCTACGGCTATTTACACCAGCCAGGGATCTGGTTCAGAATAGAGAAGAGGGGAAAATTAATTTTCCTGCTGGGAAGTTGAGTTTTTAGAGCTAGGACAAAGGAGGATTTCCAAGGCATTCCCCTCATCCTATTAATGAATCACTGGTTTTAGCAGTTTTAGAGTTGGAAAAAAACTGAGTACACTCAAAGCCAAGGCAAGAAGCACAAAGATTTCCCAGAGTATGTCTCTGACTGGATCATACAAGACTTAGACTTTGAAGCCATCCAACCCAACTTATGGAACATTCCTACAGACTGTTAGGAGTAACTCCAATGCAATTATATAGAAATTATCTAAAAATCTATAGCATTAACAGAGAACAATGCCAATGATATAGAATTCTATAGCAGGGATATATATTTTTATTACCTTTTATATGATCTTACTGAGCTATTCTATATAATGTAATCATTCTCTATTAATTTCGGTAGGACTTTTCCTTTAGGGTCTTTTGCCATAAAAAGTGAATTTGGAATTTTTAAAAATAGAAAATAATGCAAGATTAGCTCACAGAGCACATGGACATCATATTGAATGGAATCTTCTCCAGCTTCGTTTACAGCCACACATGTATATCTCCCCGCATCTTCTGCCTGAGCCCGTGGAATCTGTAACACTCTGCCTCCTGGAGGGAAAACACATTCAAGATTTCAATCTAAAATCAAGTGATTTCCATCACTCAAACATACCACATTCCTATGGAGACCTGAGTCAATGACGTCATGAATGACTGGGGGCAAAGAGCTGGGGATGTAATTTTCTCCCCATTGGTTTGTCTTGAATGATCACTTTCAGTTCTGGACTAATTAAAGCTTTTTGTTTCATAGTTGCTTTCTCTACATCCAGCTTGGTTTTAGTTGGAGGTTTATAATAAAATGTTGGCAAAGAATTAATTCCATTGGAAGGAACCTACATTCTTTGGAGACATATCAGCAACAGAGTTGTTGATCAATCTAGAAGTGAAACTTTCCACAGTGAGCTAATAGAAAACTTTGTCATTGACTCCATTAGAGAAAGTATATCAAACTGTAGAATATTTGCTCTTTGGTAAACTATGCATGACTGGAAATTTTCACTCTCAGTGCTCAGTTATATGTGGTTTTACTCTTTGATTTTCTTCTTTATTTAAAATATTATCCCTTAACAAATTGGTGCAATTCCCTCCCTGCTCAGAGAAGAGAACAAATGTTGGAAATAATACAGATCTAGATTGTGGCTGGCCTCTGAACAGATAAGCAGAGATGGGGAGGGCACAAAGAGCCTTCCCACCTATAGGCCATACCGCCACCCTCTGCACAGAGGCCAGATAAAACTGCTGTCCTAAGTGCAGGAAGTACTCCCTACTAGTGCTCCCTGGAGCATGAGCTTCTCCAAAGGGATGAGTAGCAGGAGGCCATGGGCCTGATGCCAACCTGTCTGCATGAGGCAGGGGAGCTGATTAGCTAGGCAAGAAAGTGCATTCTGAAGCCTCTGAAAAGGTGCTGCAGCAAAGTGTGCTCTGAGGAGCTCTGGGACACTTATCACCCAGACAAAATCCCTTTTGGAGCTTCCTCTGGGATGATGTGTTTCTGCACAGCCCCTTACTCAAGGCTGTAGCTAAAGGGCACAATCAAGCCCACAGAATGTGAACAAATCACCTATTTGCAGGTTCCATAGGACTGTTCCATTTTAGTGTTTCCATGGCTTTCACCATCGATGGAGAAATGTTACTACTCCAAATGTGATTGTTTTGTTAAAATGAAATGCAGAAGGAAATGTAACAACAACAGTGGATTGTAGGTGTTGTTCAATGTCTCTGTTGCATATTCACCTATATCTGTCAATCAGCATGTAATATCTGAATGTCCATATTCGCGATCTGTTAAGGGATTTACTTTAAATAAAGAAGAGGGTGAAAAATCAAAAGCATATATAAAGTCTGAGCACTGGGAGTGAAAATTTCCAGACAAGAAAAAATGGATTGAGAAGGATGCACATCCAAAATTAATTATTAGTAAATTGAGTACTTTGAAGATGAAAAATGCAATTGCCATGTAAGTGCTAAGTATTATCATTATTTATTAAGCTCATCAGGTGATCTGTTAAAATACCCACCTGGTAATATCAGTACTTTATCACTGGAGCTCAGAGGGTAGCCATCTTTATACCATGTGAGAACAGGAGGGGGCACAGCATTGGTCTCACAATACAGAGAAAGAGGATTGTTGACAATCACATCTTTGGTTTCTCCACCTCTGCCTGTATCTACTGTGTTACCAACTTCCCATGCTCTGGGAGGTTTTTGGAACCTAGGAGGAACTACATTCAGAGAGAAAGAAGAGGTTAGAGTTAGGATTTTATAGCAGAAATCCATATTTGGACAATCTAGTAACAAAAAAATACTGGAGTTGTTAAATAGCATCTTTAAGCTATGGCAAATAAGCATTCTAAATTAGATCCCATCACATCAGCCATGTACTCTATGCATGAAAATCCCAAGGCCCAGCAGCAGTGTGAACCTGGTCATGCAAACAGTTTAAGCACTACTGATTAATGTACTGGGCACTTCCTGTAGGTTAATGATTGACTAAACAGGAAGAACTGATTAAAAAAGAAAAGCCAGGAGAGGACATTACTCCAAGTTAACTCGAAGCTGTTTGGGACAAGTATTGTGTTTATCCAAGATTTTCATAAGTGACTAGTGATTCTGGATGTCCAATCTGAGACATCTTAAAGGCACCTGATTTTTTTAAGAAAAATAATTTTTAGAAGTGCCTTATTGTTTTACCCATCATCACTGCTCTTACAGCTAGCGTGGGCAAATTAATAGGTTTTCTTTTTCCTGCAACCTTTGTTCAGGCAAAACTTCCTGTGAAATAAAATTTGGTGAACTATTACACAAGAAATCAACCTAGATGCCAGAGCATAGGCTAGCACACAGGCATGGGAATGAGGAGACCTCATATCTAGATGTAGCTCTGCCAACCACTAGCTGTATGGCCTTGGGTAAGTCACTTAACTATCAGTGCTCATCTTCCCCCTCTGTAAATGGAAATATTTGACACTTTCCTTTCTTTGTAAATAGATTTTATGATGAAAAGTGCCAAGTATGTTTTCTCTCTCTTCTGCTAAGCAAGTTATAAAAACATTTTTAAAATGAGTTTTTGGAGCTTTTTTGTGTATGCATACAGTGCCTAGCACAATGGGGCTGCAGACTGGGACCATTAGTGCTGCTAGGTGCTGTAGGGAGAAACTGAATATTGATGCAAAAAATGATATTAATAAAATGATTATAATTTTTTTAGATTTTTACAAACTTGTTTGTACCTTTACTGAATAGAAAATATAACTACAAGAATGTCATAGCCAGGATGCTTGGGAATATAACAATACATATGTTTAGCTGGTTATGTTACAAAACATTTAATCTAATCAAAGAAATACCAGAAGGCTTCCGCTCCTGTCTCCCAAGGACAAGCAAACCTCAAGAAGAGAAACCACTTAAAACATTCATTCTAAAAAGGAACGTGGGGTGTGTTATCAGAGTCATAAATCTAGGTTGTAAAGTAGCCATACTAATGCCTTTTCTTTTCAAAGGAAAAACTTTGCTTGTGTTTTTGAAACTCCAGGAAAAAAACATGTGTAGTTGGAAATATTTTAAACTTTTGTTTATTTCTTAAATGTTGAAATGACAAACACCTTTGTGAAAGCCATGCTTGCAAATACATTAGCTAAATGCAAAGCTCCAAATATAACTCCTTAAGTCATTGCTATGTAAATAGTAAAATGCTTTAAGTACAACCTAGTATCTAATGACCTTGCTAAACTGACTACTACTACTACTACTAAGAAGCCACTTAAGTGTAGAATATTTACATTAATGGGGAATTAAATAATTACTGGCAATGCACAAGCAAATCCTCACTGAACTCAGGAAGACAAAAAAATTATAGTTACAAAAATCTTCAATGTAGAATCAACAACTTAAGCGAAAGACTTTCTAAGAGTAATTGAACTTTAAAAGACTGTTTTGAGAACTGAAAACCTTGATATAAAGAACAGGAGTGTTGGTGGACTTGTTGAAAACAGAATTTCTTTTCTGTCAAACTCTAATAAAAATGAAAGAATATTTAAGAGAATGGACTGAATAAAATGAAAGAGTTGATGTCTGATGCTGTCCGGCTACAAGAAGAACAAAGGCAATTAAAGAAATATTACATAAAGAAATGTTACGATCCTAGGGCCGGTTTTGTTCAACATCTTATTTAATGATCTGGATGATGGGATAGATTGCACCCTCAGCAAGTTCACGGATGACACTAAGCTGGGGGGAGAGGTAAATACACTGGAGGGTAGGGATAGGGTCCAGAGTGACCTAGACAAACTGGAGGATTGGGCCAAAAAATCTGATGAGGTTCAACAAGGACAAGTGCGGAGTCCTGCACTTAGACGGAAGAATCCCATGCACGCTACAGGCTGGAGACTGACTGGCTAAGCAGCAGTTCTGCAGAAAAGGACCTGGGGATTACAGTTGATGAGAAGCTGGATATGAGTCAGCAGTGTACCCTTGTTGCCAAGAAGGCTAACGGCATATTGGGCTGCATTGTAGGAGCATTGCTAGCAGATCGAGGGAAGTAATTATTCCCCTCTATTCGGCACTGGTGAGACCACATCTGGAGTATTGCGTCCAGTTTTGGGCCCCCCACTACAGAAAGGATGTGGATAAATTGGAGAGAGTCCAGAGGAGGCAACAAAAATGATCAGGGGGCTGGGGTACATGACTTACGAGGAGAGACTGAGGGAACTGGGCTTGTTTAGTCTGCAGAAGAGAAGAGTGAGGGGGGTTTTGATAGCAGCCTTCAACTACCTGAAGCGGGGTTCCAAAGAAGATGGAGCTCAGCTGTTCTCAGTGGTGGCAGAACAAGGAGCAATCGTCTCAAGTTGCAGTGGGGGAGTTCTAGGTTTCACTAGGAGGGTGGTGAAACACTGGAATGGGTTACCTAGAGAGGTGGTAGAATCTCCATCCTTAGAGGTTTTTAAGGCTCGGCTTGACAAAGCTCTGGCTGGGATGATTTAGTTGGTGTTGGTCCTCCTTTGAGCAGGGGGTTGGACTAGATGACCTCCTGAGGTCTCTTCCAACCCTAATCTTCTATAATTCTATGATATTCATAAGGTGAAGAGGCTTCCCAGGGCTACCTATGAAGTCATGGAGCCAATGAAAGAACCCACTTGAATCTAAACAAGCCCGAAAGAGGTGTGTTTTCCTCTAATTTTGTGAATAGGAAGGAGAAGGATATAAGAAATTCTGAAGTGAGCACCACATGCACACACACACCTGCTAAGAGAGCAGCACTCCATAACTAATCCTGTCTCTCTCAACAAGCCAACTTCCCAGACAGACAGGAAAGGTAGAGAAGACTCAAAAAGAAACCAACGCAAGGAAAACCTGCGCAAACTTCAACATAGATTGGTGAGAGAAAGTTAACTAAGATAATGGCAAGGAATTAGATTTAAAACTCTTATAATGAGTTTACTGGAATATTGAAATGCTGTAGAACTTAAAAGACTAACAGTTTCTCCTGTTAATCATCAAATGGTTAAACCATATATTCCTGGAAAGGAGACAGAGGCTAAACATTTAATAGTGGGATTTAAGATCCTTGATATTTATAATTGGTCTGTATTAAGGCAGCTCTTTACATAGCTTCTTCTAAGTACTAGTTTAAATATTTAGTAAAGATTTAGTTTAGATCACTTACTTTCCCCAACTATTTATGTATGGCAAATTAACTTGTTTAAGGGCAACTGAAGCCTGTCTAGTTATTACTAACCTAAACAGTATAGAAGTATTTAATAAGGGGACTAGATTAAATGACCTTTCCAATTCCTTTTAACTCTATCATTCTATGATACCTAAACTGAATACACAATAATTCTGGGAAACAATATACTATACTCTGGTCTTAATTTACCAAGAGAAAGTGACCCACCAAAGGTGGGTTCATTCACAAGGGTGTAATCTATTCTCCACAGGGTTAAAAGCTCTCCACAGAAAGGCATACAGAAGAGATTGTAATGGAAGTAACTAGTTTATCACTTGTACTCTGTCATGTGTTGTTTTGTTTAATGATTTATTTTTCTTTAATAATACAATAGCCATGGTTAATAATTGTGATTAATTTGCTTGGTCTTGATCAAGTGTCCCCTAAGGCAGGGGTTCTCAACCTTTTTCTTTCTGAGACCCCCCTACCCTTCCAACATGCTATAAAAATTCCATGGCTCACCTGTGTCACAGCTACTGTTTTTCTGCATATCCAGTAGATTAAACACCCAGTGTTAGTGGGTAGCAAGCAGGGCAATTGCCCAATGCCCCACGGGCACCCATGCACCATGCCCCAGGGGCTCCCATGAAGCTAAGTTGCTCAGGTTTCAGCTTCAAGCCCTGTGTGATGGGGCTCAGGCTTCGGCTTTCTGCCCTGGGCCCCGGTGAGTCTAACACCAGCCCTTCTCTGATTTATTTTAGTGGACCCCCTGAAACCTGCTCACAGCCCCCACTGGGCCCCAGACGCTGGTTGAGAACTGCTGCCGTAAGGTATGTAAAAGAATCAGTGTGTCTAAACCGTAGGAGCCACACCCCTGAGTTGACAGAAACAAGTAGTAGACCTGGCCTACCATTTCTCGTTTCTCTGGACTAAATATTTTTTGTAATTTTTAAAATAAAATTAGTTGGCATCCAACAATTGAAAACTACCCCCTTCCACTCCACAATAAAATATAATGCATTAAAAAGTTAACAAGCATATACATTTTCAAAACACTTTGTAGATGAGATGGTTGATCTTCCTTTCACTTACATCAATGTAATTCTGTTGGTTTCAGGTTTACACCAGTGTAAGTTAGAGAAGAAAATATAAATTTAATAAAGAGCTCATACTTAAAATATTTTCTCTTACTAAATACCTAAAAAATTAGAGCAAGCAGGTCAAATTACCCTTGGTCTAGACTGATCCAATGGGGGAGAAAAAGAAGAGTATAAACAATTTCAGTGCTCCAAAACAAATATTACAAGAAAATGACTCACATTGACAGAATAGGAGAATTTTATTATTTGAACTTTGTTTCCCTCTTTACCTTGTATGTTCACATCAAATTCTATTTCATCCTCTCCAGCAACATTGGATGCCAAACATGCGTAACGACCAGTGTCTGATACCTGAGCTTCCTTTATCTGCAGAGTCCGGCCACTGGCTTGGATGGTAACATGAGCATCTGGTTTAATAGGCTGTGATTTAATTTAAATAAATTTATAAGTATTAAATAAAATAAATACTTGAAGTATTAAGAATCATGAAAGTAATCTGACGGTACAGCCTTTTTGCTCTAATATGCCAGTCAAATTATTTACTCCTACCTTGACATGACTACTTGACAAGCATTTGAAAGCAAGTTGGGAATAAGAAAACATGTTCGTTTAAGCTCATCTCTTTCCTTTTTGATTGCCTTGGCTTTGCCAAGAGTAACAGAAAAACATATCTATTATTATTGTTCCCAATAACATTAGGAATCACACTCCAGCCAGTAGGCCTGATCCTGTGAGATGCTCAGCATCTCCTGAATGTGCTCAGCCTATTAATGTGCCTATGGCCTAGAATATAGCAAAAAGTCACATTACCATGATACTAAGCTTCCAGTCTAATGAAATATATGTGATAAATGTAAGTGAAGAAACTTAATGGGAAAGGAGCCCTTTACGGTAATAAAAAGTTATTAACAAAGAAAAACATCTACTCTTTCCAAGCAGATGACTTAGATTATTTTATTTTAAAATGCAGTTAATCTGAAGAATGACTCTAGAAAGATAAAGTTGTGGTGCCCCCACTTCATTCCCTTTCAACACCTTTTGTACTCAGGGTCTCATTGTTTTCCCAAAATCTGCACATGAAGGATGACTTTTGGAAGATCAGCTGCTTCTGGGGCATTGTCACCTCTTCCCAGAACCCAGTGAAGGGTTCTCTGCAAGTTCTAGAGAACCAGGGTGTGGAGGGGCAAGGCCAGGCTGGCAAAGGGAGGAGGACTGAGGGTGGGACCAGGATGTTATGCCTCTTTCCAGCACAAGCCTTGTGGGGAATCTGCGCAAGAGGTAATACAGCCTGGGGGTATATTACCTTCTGTGCAATGACCACTCAATACTAAGGAACAGGCAGTCTCAGGCAGAGGAAGTCTGGCAGCACTGTCCCACCTGCTCTGCAACTGAACCAGAGGGAGAAGTAGGAGCTCTAGTGCCAGTGTGCAGAGGGACCTGGCCTATTGCAGATTCCCTGAGATCCATAAAATTGTGGGGTGGTACCACTGTCCATAATATTGGGGGTAGGGGAAGGAAGACGACACCAGGGAGGCATTGATTTCAGTGGTGCAGGATCAGGAGCCATGTGTGCACCTATGGTGCTATACAAATGTTGATTAAAAATGATGATAAATATTCAACTGCTTCTGTAAGAAAACCACCCATTAAAAGGAATTAAATTTGTGACTGACCTGTCCATCCTTATACCAGCTGATGGCAGCAGCAGGAATCGCATGAACTTCACACTCCAGAGTAAGGCTGTTGTTTATTTTGATCTTCACTTCTTTAGGAGAGAAACCCATCCCTGAGATGTCTCCTTTGTTAATAACGGGTGGAACTGCACAAAAACAAACATCCCAAGGAAGTGAAAGAGATTTCCCTGACTGAATTAACATGTTATACATCATTTAAAATGAACCAGACATAGGGAAACCAAGTACAATAACCTTAGAGTAAAAAAATACATTCCTTTGTGATCCTGTTCTCTTAGCACCACAGCTGAGTTATTACAAAACAGCAGTGCTTAACTTTTTGGTGAAAGTGCACCAGACTACATCCTTGACTGTCCCACTCTACCATGTACTTGGCTTTCATGCTTACCTACTATTTAATCAAAAATAATAAAAATTAAAGCCAGTATTTTCAAAAACGTGCCTAAAGTTAGGCTTTTGAATCCTTAATTAGTAGAACTGGTCAAAACTCAGAATATTCTTTCCATGGGAAATTCTGACATTTTGAAATTTGTTGTCATTCAGATTCAGAATTTTGAAATTTGCCACAAAATGAAATTTTGGGGGGAGAAAATGAGTTTTGGGTCAATGAAAACATTTTGTTTCAATTTTGACTTGACATTTAAAAAAATATAATTTATAATATAAAATAAATTTCTACATTCCCACAGAAAGTTTTGATTTTGATGAACCGTTATTTTCTGGTGGAAAAACATTCCACTGAAAAGTTTTTGACCAGCTCTAATCTAAATGAGTGGCAGCTCCAAGTGAAGCTCTATTTCAGGGGTCGGCAACCTTTGGCACGTGGCTCGCCAGGGTAAGCACCCTGGCGGGCCTGACCAGTTTGTTTACCTGCTGGGTCTGCAGGTTGGGTGGATTGTGGCGCCCACTGGCCGTGATTCACCGCTCCAGGCCAACAGGGGCTGCAGGAAGCGGCGCGGGCCGAGGGATGTGCTGGCCGTGGCTTCCCGCGGCCCCCATTGGCCAGGAGCAGCAAACTGCGGCCAGTGGGAGCCATGATCCGCCCAACCTACGGACGCAGCAGGTAAACAAACTGGCCAGGCCCGCCAGGGTGCTTACCCTGGCGAGCCGCATGCCAAAGGTTGCCGATCCCTGCTCTATTTCTTTTCAGTGTCACTGTACAGCCTTTCTTAAATGGTGAGCTCTCTAGCACAGAGACCATCTTTACAGTATGGTATACAGAGCCTAGCTAGCCCAATGGGACCACAATCCCTGACTGGGTCCTCTAGGTACTTCTCTAATTCAAATAAACAATAATACTAATCATCAATAATAAATAATAAAGTTACAAGACTGGGCTGGGAACAGCCTAAACTCCTTTTCAGTTTAGAGCACTAACCAGTGAATGAGAGATGGGAAGCAATGTTTAACTAGGGGCCCCAGCAAAGAGTCTCAGCATTAAAATAGAGTGAGACACTTAGAATACTGGCCCCAAGAGTCTGAAGTACCAGTACTGGTATAGTTACTAGGGATGGTGAAATCACTGTTGTAAGGAACAATCAGAAAGAATCAAAAGTGCTGACAGGAAACCTTGCATGGGAAGGGATGAACTTGGTGGCATTTTACTTCAAAATAGAATAGTGTCTGGTTTTACCTCACTCAAGTAAAAACTTCCCATTAGATATTAGGTTCTACTTTTTAAAAATAGCTCTGGAGCCTGTGGGCTTTTACAGATCTTCAGCTGTGCAGTATCCATCTGACCTGAAAGCCCAACAAACGTTTCAGCAGAAAGAGAAGTGCATCATCTCTACATCTTCCCCTGGGCTTGCAAAGCCTACAGTAACCTCAAGTGAATGCTTGTAAATTGTGTCATACAAATCTTCCTGATGTCTTTCAAGATGGTGGGCATGATTTGTATTAATGAAAGTGTTAGCTGGATAGAGTGAGTACCTGCTGGTTCAGAAACGCTAGTGAGCAGCAGAGTGGGTAAAACTGTAAAGAAAAAATGGAGGAATGAGAAAAAATTAAAATGTATTCCATTGTTATAACAAACTTACTGTAGATTTTCACTTCATAGTGTTTCAGTGTTTCCCCAGCTTCATTTGTGGCTATGCAGGTGTATCTACCAGCACTGTCCTCCTGTGCATTTAGAATCTGCAGAGTTCGCCCTCCTGCAGAAAGATTATATTATTCACTAGCATTAGCACCATACTCCTGATCCTCAGGTTATTAATGTTTTCTGCAGTCATACTTTCAACCCTGAGAGCTAAATTCTTCTCTTGGATGTGCATGCACAACTCACATTGAACTCAGAAGGAATTGCACATGTATAATTTAGGTCAGGATGTGACACTATGTAATAATGAATGTACAGTATCTGAATTGGGTATGGGCTCACTCTCTCCTTGACTAGATATGTGTCATAGTTCCTATGAAAAGTGTTAAAGCAGTTCTGGACATGAATTGATTTATGGTCCTGTGCTTTGTCTGAATAATTGTGCTTCACCTTCTCTTTTCTGTGAACAAGTAAAAATGCATTAATTCTACATATAGGGCTGGATCTGAGGCACTGTACTGTAGTTTAGTTGCAGCCCTGTACTTCAAGTGAAAAGATGCTCAGTGTGGAGAATAGAGAAAAGATAACACTCTTATGTGAAATGTTGTGAATATTAGTGAATCAACAGGATTTGAGGCTCCAGATATGTAATTCACTCAAATTGCCTGTACTCTTCAGCATGCATCAGTTTCCTTCTCACAAATTCATGCTTACTCGTGATTTATACTCACTCCATTCTCAAAGCACAACCCCAATTTTAACTGGCTAAAACTCCCTTCAGCCGGCATTCTTAGGAACTGTCCCCCAGTGAAGTCATTTAATTCCCACATACTAGTAATGCTCACATTTCCTCCCACAGGTGCAAAATTACCAGTAGCAAAGTGTAACAAAAGTGTAACATTCATTTTCATTATATTACCTATAATCTTACCAGAAAAACTTTTCCTTATTTCATATGTCCACAAAGGGCTAGACAAGAGATAATCCAACAAAAGGACAATTATTTTTTTACTTTCTTGATGGCAAGCTACTAATGAGCTATAAAAAATGCTACAGTAGAACCTCAGAGTTATGAATACCTTTAGAACAGAGGTTGTTTGTTACTCTGAAATGTTCATAACGCTGAACAAAATGTTATGGTTGTTCTTTTAAAAGTTTACAACTGAACATTGACTTAATACAGCTTTGAAACTTTACTATGCAGAAGAAAAATGCCGCTCTCTCTATTTGTTAGTACTTTACATTTAACACAGTACTGTACTGTATTTGCTTGCTCTTTTTTTCTTTCTTTCTTTCTTTTTGGGGGGGGGGGGGGGGGGTGGGGTCTCTGCTGCTGCCTGATTGTGTACTTCTGGTTCCAACTGAGGTGTGTGGTTGACTGGTCAGTTCGTAACTCTGGTGTTCGTAACTCTGAGGTTCTACTGTATCTTATTTATTTAGCTTTTCTGTTTGTGCTGTCTATCTTCACTTCCTCTCCAGTTATACCCCCCTATTTTTGAAGTGTTCCCATTATTTTCACAGACAAGTTTAAAGATTAACAGCACAACTAGGACATATTTTTAGCAGACCTCCTTAATTCTGCTTAATTAATTTGTGGGCACATCCATTTTATATTCAAATTGTAGTAAAAGGGTAAAATTGCCTAATTTGCACAAACAGATCTTCCTGCAAATTTTGCAGACACAATTAAGGAGGTAAACTGGAAATTTCTATAAGTCATTCAATTGCCTTTTTAATATGGATACGATGTAGTATGGTCATGAATACATTTTAAAGTTATCAAGCGATAGTGGTGATGTGGGTTACTGTGTGTCGTTATCAATATTTCAAATGAAGTTACCATGTTATTATTATGCTGTTACCACCTAACTTTAATTATTACATTGTAACTGTGCAATTAACTTGGCTCACCACCATCGTTTTACAGAGCAAAGAGATAAATATTATCTGAAAGCATAAAAATAATTAATTAACTAATGTCTGTGAAACTCTGAGATCCTGGGATGAAAAATGCTACAGAAGTATAAAGTGATGCCATTATTACAACTAATTGTTTTGTTTATGAATGTGTCATCTGATAAGTGACAAAACATTTATTTTATTTAAGAATAAAAATAATTACCCGGCAAAATTCGGATATTTCTGTTAGATTCCAGTGGAGCTCCATCTTTTAGCCAGGTAATTGTAGCTGGTGGGTATGAATAAGCCTCACAAGCCAGGGATGTGGGGCTATTCAGGATAACAGTGACGTCTTCTGCACTGCCATGACTGTCTGTACCCGCAATGGTTGGAGACACTGGGAAGCAATAAGAAGATCCTCAGCAATGGAACTGACAGCCATTAAAAGCAATTTAAGGCTACAATAACTTTTAAATGGAGAACTGCTGGTGTTATTTGAAACCTCTTTATAAAGAAAATTCAACATCCTGTTTAGAGGATGTGCATCACTACTAGGCATGTGTGAACTGTTCACAATGAAACCCAGAACCAGGCAAAAGTCCTATAGCACTAGCTGAAGCTCTGTCTGGTTTCTTGTTTTGTCCTGAAATTGAAATTCAGCCTACGTTCATAGAGCCTGTCAAATGGGCGGGGGTTGGAGGGGAGAGGGGGAGGGGAAGAAGGCTGGCCACCAGCCATTACCCCACCACCTCCCACGGACTATTATTGACTAGGGGTCAGCAGGTCTACTGTCTGATCTTCCTGAAAGCTATTGCTAGGCAGGGGATGTGGGCCAGGATATGAGAGTATGTAAAGAAACTCTACTGTATTAGTTGTAGTCTGTAACATGATAACCATCATAATAAAATAACAGGTGGTCTGAGTTTTTATGAAACAATGTTTCCTTTAATGGTGTCCTTAACACATTTCTTCTGTAAAACACAAGACAATGCACTGTTTTGTTCAATCTATATGTAGATTAATTCCTGTTCTAACTCCCTGTTTTCCTACCTCACTTGTTTCTTCTTAAAGGTATAAGTGCCTTATTAATATTAAACACTTTAGCAATTATACAGATGTAAATATTTAACTCTAGTCAGGTAACTTAGACATTGCTGTTATTAACTGTTAGGAACCCCAGCATGAATATCTACCTTTCAATGAGATTAATACCTTCTTTAGATAACCAGCACAATCACTTACCAAGTACATTGAGACTGTAACTTTTGCTTTTGTCACCAGCTACATTGGATGCAACACATGTATATCGCCCTGTGTCAGCAACTTGAGCGTTGGTGATTTGAAGAAAACGTCCACTGGACAGAATCTGGTGATCTCCATCCTGGGTAAGAGGCTGACCATCTTTTACCCATGTAATCTGTGGTATAGGATTCCCTTAATAAAAATACAATTAATTGTAAGTGTTAATTACTGTAGCCTCTAGAAAATGAAAAGTTACTGAATAGAAAAGAACATTTTTTGTGTCCACTTAAAATTTCCCTTTTAAGAAAGTTCTATAGAATACATATTCTATAGCCCTATAGGTTTTTGAACCATCCTCTAGAATTTTATACGAACATAAGAACAGCCATACTGGGTCAAACCAATGGTCCATCTATTCCAGTATCCAGTTCCAACCGTAGCCAATGACAGGTGCTTCAGAGAAAATAAACAGAACAGGTAATCCATCAAGTGATCCAATCCCCTGTTGCCCATTCACATCTTCTGGCAATAGAGGGTAGGGATACCATCCCTGCCCATCCTGGCTAATAGTCATCCATGGATTTACCTCCATGAACTTATCTGGTTCTTTTTTGAACCCTGTTAGTCTTGGCCTTCACAACATCCTCTGGCAAAGAGTTCCACAGATTAACTGTGCGTTGTATGAAGAAATACTTGCTTTTGTTTGTTTTAAACCTGCTGCCTTTTCATTTCATTTGGTGACCCCTGGTTCTTGTGTTATGAGAAGGAGTAATTAACACTTCCTTATTTACCTTCTCCACACCAGTCATGATATTATAGACTTCTATCATATCCCACCTTAGTAGTCTCTTTTTCAAGCTAAAAAGTCCCAGTCTTATTAATCTCTCCTCATATGGAAGCTGCTCCATGCCCCTAATCATTTTTGTTGCCTTTTCTGTACCTTTTCCAATTCCAGTACATCTTTTTTGAGATGGGGTGACCACATCTGCACACAGTATTCAAGATATGGACGTATATAGAAGTAATATGATATTTTCTGTCTTATTATCTATCCCTTTCCTAATGGTTCCCAACATTTTGTTAGCGTTTTTGACTGCCGCTGCACACTGAATGTATGTTTTCAGAGAACTATCCACAATGACTCCAAAATCTTTCTTGAGTGGTAACAGATAATTTAGACCCCATCATTTTATATGTATAGTTGGGATTATGTTTTACAATGTGCATTACTTTGCACACAACAGGGATCTACTTTTCTGTTAAATTCTACAGGATGTTTAAAAAATAAACTATAGAAAGGTTTTTTCTATTAAGTTCTATAGGATATTTCTCTTAGGGTTATTTACTAAAAACACATTCATTTAAAAAACCCACTGCATTGACAGTGATATTAAAACATTTAAAAAAGAACAGTCAAGATAAAACTCAGAGCCAAATTCTGGCTTTCAGCTATTTGTACACATACACTCAAACAACTGTGGTCAGGAAGGGAACTGTGATGTGGACAACTAACAAACACACCAAGCTGCTGTGGGTTTAGCTGTTGAATAGGGAACATATTGTGACATTGCAAAGCCTTACCTATGACTTCACAAGTTAATGTAACACTGTGTTTTTCTTTCACTTTCACATCCTCCAGTTTATTCTCACCCACAATCCCTGGGGGCACTATTAGAGAGGAAAAAAGCATAATATTGCACACTATTAGTTACACCAAATTTAAATATAACACACTACAGACCTATATTGGTATAACTACATCACTCAGGTGTGTGAAAAATTCATACCCGAGTGCCGTAGTTATACTGACACAATCCCCTGTGTAGACAGTGCTATGTTGGCAGGAGAGCTTCTCACGCTGACTTAGCTACTGCCTCTCGGGAAGGTGGATTAATTACGCCAATTGGAGAGCTCTCACTCGTCGGCTTAGAGTATCTTCATTAAAGTGCTACAACAGCAGCACAACTGCATCAGGGTATGGCTACACTACGAAATTAGGTCGAATTTATAGAAGTCTTTTTTTAGAAATCGTTTTTATACAGTCGACTGTGTGTGTCCCCACACAAATGGTCTAAGTGCATTAAGTCGGCGGACTGCGTCTACAGTACCGAGGCTAGCGTCGACTTCCGGAGCGTTGCACTGTGGGTAGCTGTGGGTAGCTATCCCACAGTTCCCACAGTCTCCGCCACCCATTGGAATTCTGGGTTGAGATCCCAATGCCTGATGGGGCAAAAACAGTGTCGTGGGTGGTTCTGGGTACATGTCGTCAGGCCCCCCTCTCCCTCCCTCCCTCCATGAAAGCAACGGCAGACAATCGTTTCGTGTCTTTTTTGCAGGGTTACCTGTGCAGACGCCATACCACGGCAAGCATGGAGCCCGCTCAGCTCACCGTCACCGTATGTCTTCTGGGTGCTGGCAGACGTGGGACTGCATTGCTACACAACAGCAGCTCATTGCCTTTTGGCAGCAGACGATGCATTACGACTGCTAGCCATCGTCGTCGTACTCCTGGGTGCTCTTTTAGCTGACCTCAGTGAGGTCGGTCAGGGGCGCCTGGGCAGACATGGGAGTGACTCAGCCAGGTCATTCCCCAGTCGTACTGCACCATCTTCTGGCAAGCACCCAGGAGATGACGATGGCTAGCAGTCGTACTACACCGTCTGCTGCCAGCCTAAGATGTATAAGATAGATGGAGTGGATCAAAATAAGAAATAGACCAGATTTGTTTTGTATTCATTTGCTCCCCCCTCCCTCCCTCCCTCCATGAAATCAACGGCCTGCTAAACTCAAGGGTTTTGAGTTCAGTCCTTGAGGGGGTGATTCTGTGTGACAGTTGTTTGTGTTTCTCCTTGATGAAAAGCCACCCCCTTTGTTGATTTTAATTCCCTGTAAGCCATGTTGTCAGTCACCCCTCCCTCCATCAGAGCAATGGCAGACAATTGTTTCGCGCCTTTTTTCAGCGCAGACACCATAGCACTGGGAACATGGAGCCTGCTCAGATCACCGCGGCAATTCTGAGCACTGTAAACATCACGCACATTATCCAGCAGTATATGCAGAACCATAACCTGCAAAAGCGAAACCAGGCGAGGAGGCAACAGCAGCGCGGTGACGAGAGTGATGAGGACATAGACATGGACATATACTTCTCACAAAGTACGGACCCCGGCAATGTGCACATCATGGTGTTAATGGGGCAGGTTCATGCCATGGAACGCCGATTCTGGGCCCGGGAAACAAGCACAGACTGGTGGGACTGCATAGTGTTGCAGGTCTGGGACGATTCCCAGTGGCTGCGAAACTTTCGCATGCATAAGGGCACTTTCATGGAACTTTGTGACTTGCTTTCCCCTGCCCTGAAGCGCCAGAATACTGAGATGAGAGCAGCCCTCACAGTTGAGAAGTGAGTGGCGATAGCCCTGTGGAAGCTTGCAATGCCAGACAGCTACCAGTCAGTCGGGCATCAATTTGGAGTGGGCAAATCTACTGTGGGGGCTGCTGTGATCCAAGTTGCCAACGCAATCAAAGAGCTGCTGATATCAAGAGTAGTGACTCTGGGAAATGTGCAGGCCATAGTGGATGGATTTGCTGCAATGGGATTCCCTAACTATGGTGGGGCGATAGACGGAACACATATCCCTATCTTGGCACCGGAGCACCAAGCCAATGAGTACATAAACCAAAAGGGGTACTTTTCAATGGTGCTGCAAGCACTCGTGGATCACAAGGGATGTTTCACCAACATCAACGTGGGATGGCCGGGAAAGGTACATGACACTCGCATCTTCAGGAACTCTGGTCTGTTTCAAAAGCTGCAGGAAGGGACTTTCTTCCCAGACCAGAAAATAACCGTTGGGGATGTTGAAATGCCTATAGTTATCCTTGGGGACCCAGCCTACCCCTTAATGCCATGGCTCATGAAGCCATACACAGGGAACCTGGACAGTAGTCAGGAGCTGTTCAACTATAGGCTGAGCAAGTGCAGAATGGTGGTAGAATGTGCATTTGGACGTTTAAAAGCGCACTGGCGCAGTTTACTGACTTGGCTAGACCCCAGCAAAACCAATATTCCCATTGTTATTACTGCTTGCGGTGAGCTCCACAATATCTGAGAGAGTAAGGGGGAGACGTTTATGGTGGGGTGGGAGGTTGAGGCAAATCGCCTGGCTGCCGATTACACGCAGCCAGACACCAGGGCGGTTAGAAGAGTACAGGAGGGCACAGTGCGCATCAGAGAAGCTTTGAAAACCAGTTTCATGACTGCCCAGGCTACGGTGTGAAAGTTCTGTTTGTTTCTCCTTGATGAACCTCCCCCCACCTTGGTTCACTCTACTTCCCTGTAAGCTAACCACTCTCCCCTCCCCGCTTCGATCACCGCTTGCAGAGGCAATAAAGTCATTGTTGCTTCACATTCATGCATTCTTTATTAATTCATCACACAAATAGAGGGATAACTGCCAAGGTACCCTGGGAGGGGTGGGGGAGGAGGGAAGCACCGGGTGGGGTGGGGGAGGAGGGAAGGACAAGGCCACACTGCACTTTAAAACTTTAAAACTTATTGAATGCCAGCCTTCTGTTGCTTGGGCAATCCTCTGGAGTGGAGTGGCTGGAGGCACCCCCATCGCGTGCTTGGGCGTCTGGGTGAGGAGGCTATGGAACTTGAGGAGGAGGGCGGTTGGTTACACAGGGGCTGTAGCGGCGGTCTGTGCTCCTGCTGCCTTTCCTGCAGCTCAACCATACGCTGGAGCATCTGAGTTTGATGCTCCAGCAGCCTGAGCATTGACTCCTGCCTTCTGTCAGCAAGCTGATGCCACCTATCATCTTCAGCACGCCACTTACTCTCTTCAGCCCGCCACCTCTCCTCGCGTTCATATTGTGCTTTCCTGCACTCTGACATTGTCTGCCTCCACGCATTCTGCTCTGCTCTGTCAGTGTAGGAGGACAGCATGAGCTCAGAGAACATTTCATCCCGAGTGCGTTTTTTTCACCTTCTAATCTTCGCTAGCCTCTGGGAAGGAGAAACAAATGCAGCTGGTGGAGGAAAAAAAAGGGAGAGTCGTAGTTAAAGAGACACATTTTATAGAACAATGGGTACACTCTTTCATGGTAAACCTTGCTGTTAACATTACATAGCACATGTGCTTTCGTTACAAGGTCGCATTTTGATGGCTTCACCCCTCCGCCGACCGCATGGCTAACAGCGGGGAATATTTCTGTTCAGCCACAGGCAAATAGCCCAGCAGGAATGGGCACCTCTGAATGTCCACTTAATAAAACCACCCTATTTCAACCAGGTGACCATGAATGATATCACTCTCCTGAGGATAACACAGGATGTTGTTTGAATGCCAGCAAACACCGGGACCATACGCTGCAATGCTTTGTTCTGCAATGATTCCCGACTACGTGCAACTGGCCTGGCCTGGTAAAGTGTCCTACCATGGAGGACGGAATAAGGCTGCCCTCCCCAGAAACCTTTTGCAAAGGCTTTGGGAGTACATCCAGGAGAGCTTTATGGAGATGTCCCTGGAGGATTTCCGCTCCATTCCCAGACACGTTAACATACTTTTCTAGTAGCTGTACTGGCCGCGAATGCCAGGGCAAATTAATCATTAAACACGCTTGCTTTTAAACCATGTCTAATATTTATTTACAAAGGTACACTCACCAGAGGTTCCTTGTGTGCCCTCAGGGTCTGGGAGCACGCCTTGGGTGGGTTCAGGAGTTACTGGCTCCAGGTCCAGAGGGAGAAACAGATCCTGGCTGTTGGGGAAACCGGTTTCTCCGTTTCCTTGCTGTGAGCTATCTTCCTCATCCCCAAAACCCGCTTCCGTGTTGCGTCCTACTCCATTGACGGAGTCAAAGCACAGGGTTGGGGTCAGGGCCGGCTCCAGGCACCAGCCGAGAAGCTGGTGCTTGGGGCGGCAGCTTGTAGGAGGCGGCATTCTGCCCAATCCTAGGGCGGCACGGCTGCTTTTGTTGTTGTTGTTCCGCTCCGGCCACCCTGTAGGAGGCTGTGGCGCGGAGGAGGGGAGCGCCCTGCAGCAAGCCTGGCAGGGCAGCCCGCGTCCTTCCCTCCCAGCCGAGCGGAGCAGCGCGGAGCCCTCCCGGCAGGCGGCGCGCGCGGAGGGGCCACGTGGCAGCGCCCTGCTGAAGCCCTGGCCGCCCCCCTTCTCTCTCTCCCTCCACTCCCTCCCCCTCCCCCCTTAGCCGGGGCACATCTGCAGCGCAGGGAGTCCCCCTGCACCCTGGCTCCAGCTGCGCCGCAGGTGGGTTTTTTTTTTTTTTTGCTTGGGGCGGCCAAAAAGCCAGAGCCGGCCCTGGTTGGGGTACTGGTGGCTGCACCCCCTAGAATGGCATGCAGCTCATCATAGAAGCAACATGTTTGGGGCTGTGACCCGGAGCGGCCATTTGCCTCTGTTTTTTTGGTAGGCTTGCCTGAGCTCCTTAATTTTCACGCGGCACTGCCGTGAGTCCCTGTTATAGCCTCTGTCCTTCATGCCCTTGGAGATTTTTTCAAATGTTCTGGCATTTCATTTACTGGAACGGAGTCCAGCTAGCATGGATTCGTCTCCCCATACAGCGATCAGATCCCATACCTCCCGTTCGGTCCATGCTGGAGCTCTTTTGCGATTCTGGGACTCCATGGTCACCTCTGCTGATCAGCT